CCCCCCCCCCCCCCCCCCCCCTAAATGCAGAATGCAAGTTCCAAGAACACTCAACATTAAGGAAACAGAAGAGAACTGGAATTCATAAGATGAAGAAATTTTGCATTGAAGAAGAGAGTCATATCATGTCCATACCATTTTCACATCATCAAAACTCTCCTCGTACTGCCCTGCAAATTCATTGACAACAACAAGCCTCCGATTCCTCCGTTGGTTCCTCCGACGCCGGTGGCCACCACTGGCCGAGAGCTGCCACTCGCTGCCGGAGTTGACAAACGAACTTCTCAAATCCACCAACCGAGACACGGCCAAATGACTCTTAGCCTTAGATCTCCTAGGCAAAACCAAATCCCCACGACTTCTGAGACTCATATTGGTAACCGGCGATGAGTCCAAACACAAACATGGGCACGGCGGCGAGTCGATCACCGGCGCACCCGCAACACACAAAGCTCCCACCATTCTAAAAAAAGACTCGAAGATCACAATCGTTGAGAGAAGCAGGATTTAGGAAGTGGTATTAAAGCAATTGAAAAGAGAAGCAATAGAATATAAGAAGTGGAAATGGGTGGGAAAAGGCTTCGGCTTTGGAGAACAGGGGATTGGGTCAAAGATTAACCGACCGTGAGAAACTGAAACTTCGAGTATTCAATTTGGAATTGTCCATGATTTTGTTGTTTTCTTTTTTCAAATTACGCATTCCAACTCCCAACTGCCAACTTAAACCAGACATTCTTCTAAGGTCCTAAATCATCCATGCAATATGTCCATTTTTCCCAATGAAATGAAAATTTGTACTTCCTTTTTTTTCTTAGCTTAATAATTATACGATGAGACTTAAAATCGATGATGGTCAACTTGGATATAACTCAGCTAGGAGGTTAGATGTTCATATCTTCCATTGTATTGTTGAACTAAAAAAAGTCGATTCTAGTTTTTACCCTAACACACGGTTGATTTTTTTCTGTTATATAAATTTACATGTTTTTTTAACTACTAAAAAAACCTTTACCATATATCAAAACGTCAACGTAATTATCTAAACCATCCCACTTACCAATAATAATTATAATTATAGATATCAAGTCCATGTTATACTTATATCAGGAATGTACCGTATAATATAAATATCATGCATACATTGTCACAAACATAGTATTAATATAATAAACAAACATAGTATTAATATAATTATTAGGCATATATCACAATAAGCATATAACTAAAGGTGAATTTCTTTATAAAATGTGGGGTATTTCATTTATTACATTCAAGGGTATTTTGGTAAGAGAAAAAGTTTGATAAATTCCTAAAATCCTACCAATAATAATGAAGTATGACATAGAATCCACACCCATTGGGGTTTAAAATCAAAGTGGATTTTGCAATTTATTGAGCTCGTCTTCAAATTCATGGCCCAGCCCGGAACGAAATCGGGGGTAGGGATCCATTGCCACTGAGGCTTAACCGGAGGTTTCACTTCCTCACGCGTATTTACCTTCGGAATTTCGATTCAGCCTTCACAATCCAACTGAAGCTGCGCGGTCGTCAAGGACGAGAACTGGGTATTCCCTATCAGCGCGAACATGTTCTACCGAGGGTAACCTTCCCCTATCTCTATGCTCTAGTTTTTCTTCATTCTTTGTTTCTTTTCCCCGTTAATTCTCACAATTTGACGTCGATTTGGGGCTCTGGGTCCTCTCCTTTTTTTTTCTTTTTTTCTCTATCTATCTCCTGTTTGTGCTAGTCTGGTAGGATGATTAGTTGGCATGTTTATATGATTTAGAAGGTTGGGCCATTGAATTGTCATCAATTAGCTATGGGTGTTGGGAACTCTTGAGCTTTAATGTTTATTGCCTAATAATACATGAGAGTGTTTTAGAATGAGAAAAATACGCTTAAATTTTTTTGCCTGGTGGGAGAGAGATTGGAAATTGAGGGAAGGACAAGAGGACCAAATTAGTTCAACCACCAAAGAAGGCTAAAATGGATCAGTGTGAATCAAAAAGGAAGGATGACTTTAAATACATAAGAAGTGTATTCCATCTAAGGGTATTGACAAAAAATTCAAGTGTTTATGTCGCTCTAAATCTGCCAAAAAGCTGCTAGAAACAGCTGAACCACAATGTTTGCTTCATTCTCAATTTTTGTCCCATGTCTAGTTTAGATATAATGTCAACAATATTAGGAGAAAGAGAGTAACAGCTGAATGAATGTATTAGGAACGGTTTCTAAATTGTTTGCTAAGAAAAAACCACTTTAATTGGCTTTTTAAAATTGACTTAACGTTGGAGGAGGCCTTTGACATGGTTGATCGCAATTTATTGGATATGGTCTTGGAGAAAAAGGGCTTTGGCCAGAAGGAAGCAAGTGAATATTCAATTGTATTGACACTTCCACTTTTTTTATTTTCGCGATGGAAAACCTCATAGTAGAATTGAAGCCTCAAGAGGACAAGTTTATCATATGCCCTACCCTACCTTGGTCTCCCGATTCTCCCCACAAGATCCCTTAATACTGCTGTGAAAATCAAATATAGAGACAGCTGACTGTCAGGATTGAAGATCCAATGGCCTGAAACCTTGTCTATTGTTCTCCTGGATGAGGAGGTCCTAAACTTTTTAGATATTTCCACATGTGAAACTCCAAATTAAACACATTTAAAAAGTTGCAGGCAAGATTTGTATTCCCTTTCGGTATTAGCAGTTGAGTTAGAAATTGAAGCATCTGGCTTTGTTTTTTCTTGTATATATCTTCTATGTGTTCTGAAAATAGTGAACCTTCCCCACGTTTTATGTATATGGGAAACTTGAAATTGCAGATCTATATTTTTATAGCCAAGAAAGAAGTAGATGCGCATAGGAACCATGTCCTCATTTTTAGCATAGAGAAATATTTTTCTTAGATATTCGAAACATTGATTTTTTGATCTCTTAGGATGGTGTATTGACAAGGTTTCCGTTTTTGTGAATTTCATGTTTCTGTTTGGACTGAAGTCCATATGCTGATGGTGGTGATGGTCGAGAAATGGGTGCAAAGCGTCAAAGGATAGTTGATCAAGGATCTTCTTATTATGGGACCCCTCCGGGTTCTGGGTTTATGTATAATACAAGTCCCTATGCATGTGTTAGTCAGCCCCCACCATTTCCTGTTGTCAGACTACGGGGTCTCCCTTTTGATTGCATGGAAACTGATGTCGTCGAGTTCTTTCATGGTCTGGACGTAGTTGACATTCTTTTTGTCCACAAGAATGGAAAATTCACAGGGGAAGGCTTTTGTGTTTTGGGTTATCCTCTGCAGGTTGATTTTGCCCTTCAAAGGAACAGGCAAAACATGGGGCGGAGATACGTCGAGGTATTCAGGAGTAATCGACAAGAATACTACAAGGCCGTAGCAAATGAAGTTTTCGAAGCATCGGGTGGGTCACCAAGAAGAACTGCACCCAGGTCAAAGTTAACCGACGAGGTAAAAGACTCCGCCGAACACACCGGTGTATTACGCTTGAGGGGTTTGCCATATTCCGCAGGCAAGGATGACATACTGGACTTCTTCAAAGATTTTATCTTATCAGAAGACTCCATTCATTTAACACTGAATTCAGAGGGGAGACCAAGTGGGGAAGCATTTGTGGAATTCTCAAATGAGCATGACTCGAAGGCAGCCATGTCCAAGGATAGAATGACCTTAGGTAGCCGTTACATAGAGTTGTTCCCATCCTCTCATGAAGAATTGGACGAAGCAATCTCTAGAGGACGGTGACACCACCTATACTTTATTCACTGTTTTTCTTCAATTACTATGTTGTTTTACTTTAGAAACTGTGAGATTTATGGAGTTAGAAGTGAATAGGAGCCAAGTCTGTTTTGTGTACTCTCCAGAACCATTGTTTGGCAGACGAGCAGCAGGTCGTATCCCTCGACTGCTTGAATTTGTGAAAAGAATTGGTTTAGTAGTATATGGATTGACCATTTCTCTGGGCAGAGATGCTCAAAATCTTCAATCCCTCTGCATCTTGATCAAAATTTAGAGGTTAGATTCATATGTGTGGGGTAATGCTGTAGTTGATTTATAGCCTCTGCCATTTTCGTCTTCAAATTAAAGTTGAAAGAGATTGAAAACTGTATCTGTAGGCAACAATTCATAATATGCTCTTTCCAAACTGAAACTTAGACAGATTTTCTTTGGATAAAGTTGAAAAAGGCAGAAAATGGTTAAAGGAGACGGACATGGGGAACGTGGATTAATATAAATTTTAATCAACGTTGTATTAAAAGAATAACTCTTCCTGTTATCATTTTTATTATAATAATTTGCTTGCTATTTGTTGTAAATACGGCAATTATATAATTATTAGGAATTTAAATTATTGAAGAGCCTACATGATGATAGGCACATAATATATCTATATCTATATATATGGTTATGATCATGAGAAGTTTCTATAATTATGCCAAACTTTAAAGCAACAAATTTCCCCTTTCAATTTAAAAAAAAAAAATCTCAAATAAACAGAGGAATCTTCATAAATAAGTAATTAGTGCAACTCCACCATATGTATATATATATATAATTTACATTTATGATTATAACCAAATATCACCAAAACAGATTCTATAGCTACGAAGTACAACATTTTTATTTGTTTTTTGTTTGCTTCCATCTGCATTTTCTTTGATTCTAGCAACAGATAAATAACTATTAATAAATAAACCAGAGAGAGAGTGGGTTGGGTTGGGTTGGGAATTTGATTCCACCACGGGCAGAGGGCAGCCTGTGCCCTAATTTTAAGTCGTCAAATTAGCAGTGCAGTAATCCCAAGAAGACTGCCTAAAAATTTGAACTCCATCTCCCTCCTCTCTCTCTCTCTCTCTCTCTCTCTCTCTCACACTGATTATTGCCTCGGGCAGCGGGCAGACTGCCCTGATTATCTCTGTTTATAACCAGCTCGAGATGGGCGCGAACACACTTGTGAAGGCGAACCCTCTTTCTCTCTCTCTCCTCTCTCTAGGGTTTTGTGGGTTTTTGAAGTTCAACCCTTCTCTTTAATGGGCATCCTCCAAAATTCTCTCAAGTCCTTCTCCTTTTAGAACCCCCATTTTCAGAACCCTCTTGCTTTAACCCCCAACAAAAAAGGTTCAATTTTGTTTCCAAACGTTGTTGTTTGTTGTTTGTTCCATTTGGGTTTTGCCTCTTCTTTTTTCCCCCCAGAGGCAAGTTCCTCTGCCCCTCTCAATCGACCCTTTTGAAAGTACCTGAAACAGAGTTCAAAAACCCCTTCAAAATGGCCCCTTCTGGAGGCAAAATGGCCACGAGAACCAGAGCTAATTTACCCAACTTGAAGCTGAACAAGAAAATCAAGAAGACGAAGAAACAGCAGCAGCAGCAGCAGCAAAAGCTGAAGCAGATTCCAGCGGCGATACCAAACGACGCCGTTCATTTCACCGACGACTCTACTGACATCGACGGCGGCTGCAGCACTCCAAAAGCAGAGAGATTCAGAATCCCGGATATTCTAACGTGTCCGCCGGCCCCCAAGAAGCCAAGACCCTCTTCGGATTGCTCATTACGACGATCGCCCATTGCCTTTTTTGCTCCTCCAGAATTGGAGCTCTTCTTCTGCGCCTTGCCGGTGCCTGACATTTCAGTCTGAGGCCAAAAGCTAACTAATCCTCGTGTGTTTATACAAATTTTACAGATATGAATCATCAAAAAAATACCAAGTTCTTGTTTTTCTCGTCTCTTTTGTTAGATATTAGTTTGAATAAGTTTGGGTGGCGGGGGGTTCCCCCTTTTGTGTGAGAAATTGAGCTTGGAGGTGCAGATTTTCAAATTAGGTTTGCTCTGTAATATTATTATTATTTATATATATATTTTGGGAATTTGAGCTGTGTATTGTAGGGTTAGTTTGTCCTTGTCCCACAACTTTCCCTCGTGATAATTTCAACCAATACCTCACTTTATTTTCATGGTGCTCTGTTTCGAAAGCTTCACCCTTTGTTTATGGGTTTAGGGTTTATGGCAGTTATGGTATGGTGCATATTCCAAGAGAGAGGCATGAGGATGATGAGAAAGTGAAACGGCGTCGTGTTACGCAGCAGAAGGCTGCTGTGACGCAGGACTATGTTTCCCTTTCCTCCATACAGAACCCAACACTTTCCCAAATTTCTTTCATTTTCCACGTGGACTTTCTGCAATTACCAAAACTAATTTCAAATCCATAATCCTTAAATACAAAATAAATAAGTAGTAAGCTAAAAAGTAGTTTTGTTTTTACCTTTTCAAATTTATCTTTTTACCTTTGGATTACAAACATATCAAATAGAATTATTTACTTTTCTATTTTTTTATTTATGTCATAGTTGATTCTCGTTAAATTAATTTGATATTATTTAGGAGTAACTTAAAGTTTATAAGAAAAGAAAATAAAAATGATTAGAAAATGAGATAAATTATTTGAGAATGATGAATTAGATTTGATAATCGAAAGAATTATAGTAAGTGAGATTAAAAGGGGAGCGGGTAATGAATTATTATTATTTATATGACTTTGTCCGAACTCACAAAACTAACCTCATCCAAAACAACATGAGAGAATCCAATGAACCAACTCGTGCGGCTTCCCAATCACTGTCTCAAAAATAATGTTTTACCAAATGGAATCTCATCATTTTTTTTCTTTTTTCAAATTATTCATTTTTTCTTAAATTAAAAAAAAAACAATATATATATATTGATGAAACTATGGAAGCCCCACATGTGTTCTTGGCACAATCTTTTAGAATCTGCTGTAGCTTTAAGGAATTAAAAAAAATATGGGAAAGGACAGTTTTGGTTTGATGAAGAAGTTGTCTTTAAAATGATGTTTTTTTTTTACTTTTTTTTCATTTATAAGTATTTAATTTAGCTTGCCCTTTCCTTTTATTTCCATTATTATTTTAGTGTTTTCTTAAGCTTTTCTTTTAATAAAAATTATGATATACAAACAAGACTAAAATAATAATTTAAAATTTGAAAGAGCCATTATTTTTAAAACCGAGATATTTTCCACTACTAGCGAACATTTATACCTTTAGATATTTTATAATGATACAATCAACACTAAGTCAAAATGAATAACAATGTACAAATATTACTACACATTTTAAAAGATGAAGCCAGGCAGGTTCCTAGGGGCCAGCCACATAAAATAATATTAACTTCACTAATAAATAAAATCATTGAAAAAACCAATTATATACCAAATTATTATATTAAAAAAATAAATAAATAAACTCCTAAGAATATATGCACATGTGATTGCATTGGGAAATGCTTGTATTTAAGCTATGAAAGTGTAATATATAATATAAATAGAAGGATAAGATAAGGAAATGGTGAGTTTTGAGTTTTAATGTATGGAGCTTTTTGTAATATTTCCATTAATAATAATGGAGACATTATAATTAGATTGGAGAGTGGGAATTAACCCACCCGGCCATGCCAACTCTTTCTTCAATCATGCCTCTTTTTCAAAAGCTAAAACGTACGTTTTATAATTACTTTTATTATATTTTCTTATTTTATTTTTTAAAAAAACATCTTATGTCATTAAAAAAATCTTATGCAATTTTATATTTTTACTAAATATACATAATATTAAACTATTGAATATTCTTATTGTTTTGGTATTTGAATATTCTTATTCTTTTTTCTGTTGAGTATCTACAACTTTGCTTAAAAAAATGATTTATTATTTATAATTCATTTCAATTTATAAATACCTTTTCACAATATCATTATTTTTTATAGAATATAATAAAATGAAAACTAAAAAAATTATCATCGGTAATTAATAAAAATCTACTATACGAGGGAATCTTATCAAATAATTGGGGGAGTGGATGGATGAAGTTTTTTTTTGTTTTCTTTTGAGGAAAATTTTGGATTAAACTTGTACTTTATACTTTGATGTTTCAAATTAGTCTAATAAATCAATCTAATCAATTTATATATATATGATCATGTTTCAACTTTTGAAGAATCCGAGGATGTTCCAAGGGGTTTTTTTTAGGAAAACAAATTTAGTTCTTCTTTTCCTTTTGAGTCAAAATATTTATAATTTTATTTGTTCAAATATAATTCTTAAATCATTTTTTAAATTTATGTTTATTTAAATATACAAGTACAACCAAACATCCTCTTTATCATCAAATTCAGATATAAAGATTTTATTATATAAGAAAATATTAATACTTTAATGAGTTGAACTACAAAGACTGGGTTGACAATGGAGTATTAATACGAGGTGAACTTCAAATGAATTATCGTGAATGCCTATATCCAAATGAAATCTATATCCAAATGAAATGGACGTGTTAGAAACATGAGTGGCAGCTTTTAGGGTTTGTAGAAAAATCTGTGGCAGCCTTTTGTGTAACTTTGTTTAGAGGATTTGCAGAAAGCAAAGCAATAACTCTTTGATTGTGATACACTTATTTCTATTTGCTTTCCCTTCTTTCTTTCTTTTGACCATCTAAATCATTCTTTACTTCTCTTTTTTCTTACCTCCCACTCTCTCACTCCCATCCCATTTTCAACCTACTTAACTCCAGAGTTATATGATTAAATGACGATTAAAATAAAATTATTAAATTTTATCGACAGTTTTCAATTACATATTTGACGATCAGATATAATTTACTTATTTACGAAGTAATGGCGAATAAACTCGTTCTCCTTTCTTTCACCCCGTATTTCTTTCTTTAATTTCTTTCTAACTTTCTTCCTTTGTTTTACCATATTCAGATTAAGGGACGTTTATTTCTTTAGGAAAAGGAAATAAAGAGACACAATTGGGGAAGTTGGGCCTGATAAAGCGTGAGTGCTGTTGTTTGCGTATGGGCCTGGCCCATTTCGTACGTACGGCCCACATTCCATCTTCTCTCTCCTACTCCATAATTCAGCGGGTCAACGATGAAGGAATAGCACATCCATATGATTTATAAGAGAAATAGTAAAATTAGTATTAATTAATTATAACTCAAAGTTGGGCTTCAATAATTAGGCATCATCTTTGCTTGAAGCCTTTGGGGGCTTCCTAGTGCACCCAATCATGGTTTTTAGGTACACCAATGCAAGCTTATCCGAACCACACTAAACCTGAGCCACTTATATGCTGCCACGTTTCATGTAATCAATTCTTAACCATATTTGTCCGTACAACTACATTCTTTTTTTTCATTATTTAATGTTTTGAATTTAGGTTATATGGAATACATGAAAGAGAGTTGGGTGGCATGTCAAATAATTTGTTGGGAGCTTACAGTGATATCATTACCTGAAGGTGATTTAAGAGATTTGCGAGATCAGGAACAAGTCTTGAAAACAAAGAGGCATTAAAAATACTTGGGATACGTGGCATGCGCTGCTGTCGCTACTTTAAAGATGCGGTCCCCACTTTTGCGCCAAGCGTTTCCCGGGCTTTGCTCGTCAAGTGAGTGTCACGTAAGTCAAAATATATTATCCCAATTTCCGCTTTTTATCCTCAAAAACGAATTTCCATAACCTTACCCACCCGTGAGATTCAGACCCTCACCACCCACGTCAACTGGGAACCTGCTTTAGCCGGTTCACTCGGCTCACAGGCATCCACTTAGATAGCCTAGTTCGAAACTGGAAGAGGAGGTCGCCGGTGGAAGACCAGCTGGAACTGAAGTCGGGTCCCGCAGTGGGTAAGGGAACAGTAGCCGTAGCTCTTGAATTTGAGTTCCCACAAGGGCCTTCGCTTTGGCACTGTAGTTACAGTGCTCTCTCTTAAGTATGAGAATCGTTGAAGAACTGGATTGAGTCTTCGATTTCTCTTTCTGTTTCTCTCTTTTCCGAGATTCCGAGTGGTTGCGTCCTGAATCTAGGGCTTTGGATTTCCAGAATTTTCCCTCCAAGTGAGTTCTTCTCTTCGTCTGACTTGACTTTGCAAGATTTTGGTTCCTTTTTCTTCTCTTTCTCGTGTATCTAATGTTACTCCAGGGTTTTCTCAATTCAGTTCTTTATCTTCCTTTTTTTGGGTTCTGTTTATTCTCGTTGCATGAAAGCGCGCCGGTTTGAGTTTCTGGATTCATGCGACTAGGATTTGGGTTTTTGGATCACTAGAGTGGAAAATTTCAACTGGTGGTGTTCCTTTGTTTAGGGAAGGGAGTGGAATTGGGATCTTGATGGGATATTTAGAAGTCGTAAGTTCGGGGATTTTTGTTCTTATTTTTTAGGATTGAACTCGCACCGTCGTATTCAGTTTTGCTCCTTCATCTGTCCCATCTTTTGGCATTGGGTTCTGTTTGTTGTCTGCATGTGGGGATTATGGTTCGTACAGTCCTTATTGGCGGAATTTTGGTTGGAATATCAGTCGCCAAATATCGAAGTGAACGTTTTCTATAGAACGCTATTAGTTACCCCTGCCCTTGCGTGTGGATCATTAATGAGCTGAACTGAAATGCTAAAGAGAACTTATTTAGTACAAGATATTAACTATGATTTGATATTTGGGTGGAGCGTTTTAGGATGATTCGTCAATATAAGCATGCCACTTTTTCCCCTCTCGTTGTCATTTCTGAGTTGTGGTTGGAAGAGTGATAGAAAAAGGTCGCCTATGATAATTTATAGTCTAGCATGGAAATA